GATCAATGTCCGACGCTCGAGCTCACTAACAGTGTTTTGTTAAAGTGCATGACGGCCTTGTTCAGGTCCATCGGCGCCGGGTTCAGCACGTTTGACGCGGCTTCCAAGGTTTCCGGGTTCCTCATCACCGCGTGCATCATGTACACGGGATACATGATTCAGAAGCCCCAAATGCACCCCTGGTTCGTGTGGCTCTTCTGGATCGACCCTCTGGCCTATGCGTTCGACGCTCTGTTGTCAAACGAGTTCCACGGGAAAAGGATCGACTGCGTCGCCAACAACCTCATCCCCAGCGGGCCCGGCTTCACCAGTGGCGAGAATCAAGCGTGCGCTGGCGTCGGCGGCGCTGTGCCCGGCCAGAGTTTTGTCGATGGCGATGCGTACCTCGCGTCGCTGTCATATAGCCATTCGCACATGTGGCGAAACTTTGGCATCGTCTGGGCGTGGTGGGCGCTCTTCGTCTTCGTCACCATTGTCATGACGAGCCGGTGGCGCTCGTCCTCTGAAGCCGGCCCGAGTCTCTTCATCCCCAGAGACACGGCCAAGGCGTACAAGGTCGGCCAGCAAAAGAGGGAAAAGGACGAGGAGGGTCAAGGACAAGTCTCAGACGCCGTTGTCTCGAGCGCATCTTTGAGCGACGAAAGAACAGAAGCAGAAGACGAAGGGCCAACGAATCTTGTGCGCAACACGTCCGTCTTCACTTGGAAGAATCTGTCGTACACGGTCAAAACGCCATCTGGCGATCGACTCCTCTTGGACAATGTGCAGGGTTGGGTCAAGCCCGGAAACCTCACCGCTCTGATGGGTTCCTCTGGCGCGGGAAAGACGACGCTGCTGGATGTCTTGGCTCAGAGAAAGACAGAGGGAACCATCCACGGATCCATCTTGGTCGACGGAAGACCCCTTCCGGTATCTTTCCAGCGATCGGCGGGCTACTGCGAACAGCTCGATGTGCACGAATCCCACGCGACTGTCCGCGAGGCGCTGCAGTTTTCCGCCCTGCTCCGACAGAGCCGCGAGACGCCGCGGAGAGAGAAGCTTGCCTACGTGGACACCATCATTGACCTCCTCGAGCTCCACGATTTGGCAGACACGCTGATCGGCGAGGTCGGCGCGGGATTGAGCGTCGAGCAGCGCAAGCGCGTGACGATTGGCGTTGAGCTTGTGGCCAAGCCTAGCATCCTGCTCTTCCTGGACGAGCCTACCTCGGGCCTTGACGGGCAATCTGCCTACCACACGGTTCGTTTCCTGCGTAAGCTCGCCGCGGTCGGCCAGGCGGTGCTGGTCACGATCCACCAGCCTTCTGCCGTGCTCTTTTCCCAGTTCGACACGCTCCTGCTTCTGGCCAAGGGCGGCAAGACCGTCTACTTTGGCGACATTGGCGAGCAGGCCTCCGTCATCAAGGAGTACTTCGGGCGTTACGGCGCCCCCTGCCCGCCCGGGGCCAACCCGGCCGAGCACATGATTGACGTCGTGTCGGGCGTGCTCTCGCAGGGCAAGAACTGGAGCGACATATGGCTCGCGTCGCCCGAGTACGAAAAGATGACGGCCGAGCTGGACAGCATCATTGAGAAGGCGGCCGCGTCCCCCCCGGGGACCGTCGACGACGGCCACGAGTTTGCCACGCCCATGTGGGAGCAAATCAAGCTCGTGACGCACCGGATGAACGTGTCGCTGTACCGCAACACAGACTACGTCAACAACAAGTTTGCGCTGCACATCTTCTCGGCCCTGTTCAACGGCTTCTCCTTCTGGATGGTGGGCGACTCGGTGGGCGACCTGCAGCTGAAGCTCTTCACCATCTTCAACTTCATCTTCGTGGCGCCGGGCGTGCTGGCCCAGCTGCAGCCGCTCTTCATCCACCGCCGCGACATCTTTGAGGCGCGCGAGAAAAAGTCCAAAATGTACTCGTGGGTCGCCTTTGTCACGGGCCTCATCGTCTCCGAGATCCCGTACCTCATCATCTGCGGCGTGCTCTACTTTGTGTGCTGGTACTACACCGTCGGGTTCCCGGCCAACTCGCAGCGCGCCGGCGCCACCTTCTTCGTCATGCTCATGTACGAGTTCCTGTACACGGGCATGGGGCAGTTCATTGCCGCCTACGCGCCCAACGAGGTCTTTGCCACGCTGGTGAACCCGCTGCTGATTGGGACCCTCGTCTCCTTCTGCGGCGTCCTGGTGCCGTACGCGCAGATCCAGCCCTTTTGGCGGTACTGGATGTACTACCTCAACCCGTTCAACTACCTCATGGGCAGTCTGCTCGTGTTTGACCTCTGGGGGAGCAAGGTGACGTGCTCGCCGAGGGAGCTGGCCACCTTTGACCCGGTCAACGGCACGACGTGCGGCGAGTACCTGAGGGATTACCTCGCCGAAGGGCCGGGCAGCGTGGCCAACCTTCTCAATCCGGAGGCGACGAGTTCCTGCAAGGTGTGTTCGTATACCGAGGCGCAGGATTACCTGAGGACGCTCAACCTCAACGAGTACTATTACGGGTGGCGGGATGCGGCTATTGTCGTGCTCATGGTGTTTAGCTCGTATGCCATGGTGTACGCGTTGATGAAGCTGAGGACCAAGACGTCCAAAAAGGCCGAGTAGCTCGGTTGTTGCTGTTTGTCGGCCACGGGCGCAGTTGTTTGTTTAGTAATTTCGTGGCACAACATTGCTGACAATTTTCTTTTTCTGTTTTTTTTTTTCTTTTTTTCTTTCAGGGTTTGGAATCAAAGAGCTAGCTTGACTGCATATTTGGCAAGGCATAAATTTCTTATTGTATAATCGCCCAAGGGGCTACTGGAAAGTTAAAGTAGATTTTCAAAATTTGTTGCAAGGGATGCAACATTATACACTACTACGTTGTGCCGCAGGTGACTGCCCACTGACTCTGGCTGCAACAAGCAACCGGGGGTATTAGACATGAATGAGCTAAATGACAAATGACGGCAGCGGGCGGCAAAAACGCAATGTTGAGTGAGAAGCCTGATTTGGCTTGAGCCGTTGCACGGTGTAGATGTATCGCCAGATGTGGCGTGGAATATGACCGCAAGGAAAGCGTGGCCAACAGGCGCTGAGGTCCAGCATTAGACGTGACTAGTATCGGATCACCCAGATCATTGATGTTTGCTGTTGACCACCGGCAGCTTGAAACAGTACCAGATCAACAATTTCTTTGTTGGACCGGGAAGCGGGGAGCATTAATAAGCCTCGACTTGAACTTGAATGTATGTACTGATGCTGCTGCAGCAATCTCACCACGTAACATCTCTTTGTGCTTGCGGAGCATCTTAGCACCCGGTGCCGACTTGCGCTTTGATCAAACAGGTGAACTTGACTCTTCAATGTTCAACTCTGCTCCTGCGCATCCCAAAGTACCAGACGTATTGACTCCATCCTTTCGGTCGGCGTGTCACCAGGCAGGTGGCCCCAGCCGATTCAAAGTCTGCCCCGAAGGGTCAAGTTCAATGTTTGGACCGCCATTGATTGGCCCTTTGTAGCTGCGTGTGTGATGACCAAGATGAGTGCCGCGCCAAGAGATTGCGCAAATACGACGTTTGATCGGGGGCAGCTAAACGCGCAGCGGCCCCAATCCTAACCGGGTCAGGTTTTTACACATATGATTTTCGCTGTAAAAATACATGTTAAATTTTTTACCCATAGCTCATGTAGTTTAAAGGGAAAAAAAATCCCATGTAGCCGGGACTCGAACCGGGCACAAAGGCGTTGATAGCTTCAAACAACACACATCTCAAGCTCCTACAGACCTCAAAAAACGTCAACCGGTCTGGTACTTTTAACCATAAATCCCACCAGACTTGAGTCTGGTGAAATTGGACAGACGCGAGCCACACTAAATTTATATGAGTGGAGCGTCTGACCCGATTAGGTTTGGGACCGCTGCGCGATAAAAAAAACCGACTGGACTGCTGCGCGTTTAGTTGCCCATCGATCGGGTTTGTGCCACCGAGCCCTGACAAGTCGGTATGCTTCCGAGTTGAAGCCGCGTGCAACGACAACAAGGACCAGACTCTACCGTGGTCTCATTGCTTATCCTCTAGTTGGGACGAGTGTCGCTGCCAAATGCGTCAGAGCGGTCCGCCCATCCTCTGCAAGGGCAGTCTAGGCAAGGGACAAAGCAGACCAGACGCAAGGGTTTCCTTTGCCGCTCGGGCTGCTTTGCGGACCACTAGACCGGGTAGCGAAGAACGCATGATGTTGAAGGTTGCATTGCGAGGTCCCCAGTTTATTTCTGGCTTACTGTCGAGTACGTTCCAGGACAACTCGGACATCAGACGGCGTCTAGAACTGAGGCCTCAAGTTAGTTACGGCTGCAACCTCGCGCAACCACCCACTTCATCAATCGACGACCAACAGCGGAGCAAGTGACTTGAGGAAAATGTTGTCGTCTATCTCGCAGTCGCCTCATTCTAATAAAAGACTGGCTCAGAGGCCAAGACCGAGCCATGACTCGGCCCCTCGTGTCCGCGCCTCAACCTCACCGTTACGCATTGATCTCGAGCGTCTTCAGCCCCGTCAACACAGCTCCCAGCCATCTTTGCCCGAGTTAGCGTACATATAGTCTTACTGCCAAGAAAGTCGCCTCGTATTATTATTCGCGTACTCCGTACTTTTCGTATCAATGACAGCTGAAAGCACAGTAGTTTAGGTAGGATACCGGGTCATAGTGCAGCATAAAACATCTTGTTCTCGTAACGCTTGGCCTGCTAGAAAGCTATATATACAAGGGTCAAAGAGTTGACACCAACCTACCAGAGGTGGGCAACTACATGCATCAAAATAGAAGAGTAACCCCCCGCTTGTGCTCCAACGCCATAGTCCAAACCCCTCACGGGTGTAAGTGAGCCTCCCAGTATCCATGGCTTCAAGCAAAAATCGTATACACATCGCCAGCCGAAATGCCACGGCACCCCTGTCCCTTTTGTCCATGGCCAACAAGCCCGCCCGTCGGTACAAGTACATATTGTGCAAGGGTTCCCAGGAGCCCAGCCTTACAAGTGGCAAGCAGTCGTGTCCTGGCTCCAGCCGGAGAGCCGGTTCGCAATGTCGGTCGAGTAGCAGTTCGTAGCGCCAATGCCCAGCTGCAGAAGCCCGCTCCCGTCGACTTTTCCCGAGTTGTACATGCGGGCGGCCCTGTAGAACTGGCCCTCGCCGGGGCCCGCCCTGAGGAGCAGCTGCTTGAGCCCGTCGCCGGTGGGCGTGCCGAGGGTGCCGTCCTTGATCATGCCTTCGATCTCTTCGTTGGAGCATGTGGGCTTGTCGTAGCACGTGTGCGGGCCTTCGTGCGACTGCATCAGGCCTGGGTTTTTGACCGAGTTGGCGGTAGACCCGACGCGGACGCAGCCGCGGGATTCTTGCATGACAATGGCGAAGATGAAGCGGGTGTCGACGCCGCTGGATTGGCCGACCGACTCGATGGCCGACTTGAGCTCGGCCGTTTCCTGCTCCGAGTTTTGCGGCTGCTTCGAATAGGTACAGGCCGTCTTGATGAGGGGTAGGTTGAGGGTCCAGAGGGCTTCAAAGGACGGCCACTTGGACTCGGTGGGCCAGCCGTCGGCAGGACTGCCGTTGCCGAGATACAGCTTGTAGGGGGCAGGGCTGCTGGGGGCAGGTCCTGCGTCCGGGGACGGCGCGGGAGCTGCAGCTGACGATGGTGCGGGAGCTGGACCCGATGACGGCACCGGAGCTGCAGCTGACGATGGCGCAGGAACTGGAGCGGAAGATGGCACCGGAACTGGAGCTGATGACGGCACTGGAGCGGGATCCGACGATGGCGCGGGAGCTGCCACAGGTGACGAGCTGGGGACCAAGGAAGAGCCAGCAGGAGGAGCACTCGTCGGGACGGCCGCAGACACGCTGGCAGACTGCGCCGGAGTCCCCTCGGGGGCGGGAGCCGAAGTCAGCGGTGCCGTCGGCGAGGCACCAGGGGCACTGGCCAAAGTGCCATTCGTGCTGGTGATGCTGCACTCGGAGCCAGAGCAGACGCACTGCGTCCCCTCGGAGACGTTCATCCACTGGGGCGTGCTGTCCGCGGCGACGCAGAGCGCAAACTGCGTGCTGCCATTGCACATGAGGGCGCCGGGGGTGCACGCCCGAGCCCAGAGATGATCCGCGACGGGGTACGCGGCGGCGGAAGCGGCGAGACCAGCCAGGGTCGCCAAGGTAGTCGTCTTCATATTGTCGATGTCGCTACAAGATGATGATATTTCAGAAATGATAGACTTGAGAGCTCTTCCAGAGAGCAAAAAAAAAAAAAAAACGGCAAAAGTAACAGAAAAGGAATGGAAACGGATCGACGCTGTGCTGCCGTCAGGCAAGGGAATGTGTACGACTATAAAAGTCCAAAATGTCGTCTTGTCGAAAAAGGAGCGTGAGCAGAGGCAGCGACCTGCGCAGAGCGTTTGAAAGAGAGGGAGTGAAGATGCGAGTCGGAACCCCGGCACCGGTACAAAGAAAGCAGCAAACGTGACGATTTCGCCGTGAAGGACAAACATGGCACCGTCGGACATTGTGCTCCCTATATACACAGCCGTAGACCAGACGAACGGTAGTACCCCCTTTTTTTTTTTTTTCTCTCTCATGTTCACTTGGCGTTGAGCCCGTCCAGCATCCCGGCAAGATCGTATGTCGGCCTGAAACTCACGGGGCCGTCGGGGCAAGACTAGATGCCCTTTTGGACAAGAGGGCAAATGTTTGGACCAATTGCTCGCCGGGACCTGGCGGGCGGTTTCCCAAGACCCCGGCTCGATCGGCCGGGGACTGTGCGCCACCGCCAATTCGTTGGACGACGTGGTTTTTGCCCAGGGCGCACATGTGCCGCATGCCGCTTGTGATGCGGGACTGACTGTTCATTGACGGGCAGACAAAAAGACGCATACAAGGGCACACATGCATGTACATAGATCCATCGCCAGGGGCGGTAAGCGAGGGACCTGGTGTTCAATGTTGCCACTGGCTGGCTCTGCCCCGTTGTGCTCCCTTGCAGACCAGTTGACTCGCAAAAAAAGGCGGCGCAGGAAAAAGCATGCGATTTGATGCGATGGCCAGTTCGCGAGAGCTTCCAGATGTCTCTTTTGCCCAGTCATGTTCCGGCAAGGTCGCCTGCCAAGTAGGTACTCCGTACGTGTGCCTTGTCGGCAAATACCAGCTGAACGCGCTGGCATCTTGATCCTTGAGCTCGCTCTTTGCCATTCATGGCCCTTTGCTCCGCATTCAAATGATGGGAACGTGCGCGCCCTCTCGAGTCTCGACATGCAAGGCGGGCATTGTCTCCCTCACCTTGTTGCCACCGCGTGCGCATCCACGATTGTCTCGTGCATGCGAGCGATTGTGTAACCGTCTCACAATGTCTCTTTGCCGACACAATCCGTCACATGATGGCGATGCTTCATGCGGGGGCGCATCAAAGGCAAGCATCGCATCCATCGCTTTTCAATGTTCCCGCTCCTTTGTCCCATTGACTAGCGTGAAGAAACGCGGCAGTGAAGACGTGCCGGTGCGCGACGCGCAGCATCGAGACAAAGCGTCTGGTGTTCACGCCGAGTCCATCGCTTATTTAAATGACGCGCTCGCCGTCCACCGATACGCGAGATGAATGACGTGCCGACCTCTTCCATGTCCTTTCCTTTTCGTGTCGTCTTCCTTCAACACTGGACCTTTGCACGCTCAGCATTCACTGACTCAACTTGTGAACATTTGAACAGAGCCTTTGTCTTGCCCCCTCTGCATGGTAGTCACCCTACATTGACATCATCAGTTTTGGAATCTGCATGTACATGCACATTTCACGCACAATCACCCAAGCCGGAATTTCCAACGTCATCCAGGCCGCACGCCGTCTTTCTCTACATGCTATGAACGGAGCATAATGACGATTCTTTCACGTGTGCTTTCACGACACTATCTCGGCCAGATGGGAGCAACGGTCGCGTGTACCGCGAGTCTACCATGGCCCGGCCCTCGAGGCGTCAACTGGTCCGTCTCCAAGACACGAGGAGAGCCTCACCTCTCTGTGCATGTCAAGCACAATGTTCACCGCGGCAGGATGTCTTGTTCCTTGAGCAGCCTCGCTAACAAGAGTTCGAACAAAAACCCGCCGCACAATACCGAGGGAATCATGTTTTGCCTACAAAACGCCGCTTGGCCGCTGCACACGTCGCTGCGCTTCAATGTTGCCTCTTGTCCCGCTGCACAGATTCCGTCCTCGACATCACGTTCCTCTACGATGGCGTAGGCCGTTTCTGCCATTGTCAGCACGAATGGGGGAATACAACGGACTAGCCACCGTGTATACGGAACGCTTGGCTTGCATCGCCGCTATATTGCTCCTTCACACTGGCCTCTCGCCGCGACGACTTGTTGTCGTTCTCACCAAAGGTTCGTAGTCGTCCTTGTTGTCGCCATCTTGGCCGTCTCCAAAAGGCAAAACTTTATTCCAGATTTCGTGCCACTCTCTCAGCTGTTGAACTATGGTCTGCTTCTTACTCCCTGTAGGCTTGTCGCTACCCTGGTCTTCTTTGGCCTCCAAGGCTGCGGCCTTGTCCAGTCATTTGTTCAACTCCTTCATACCCTCTGGTCCGTCTTTGAACACTCTCTTCTCTATAGCCAGCTCGAGGGTCGTCACCGAGCCCTTCCATACACTTGCTCCCAAAGGCTCCGAGTTGGCACTTGATTCAGCAGCATTACGCAACTTGGTTGCACGTAGTGAGGGCTTTCGTTGGCATCCGACCCGGTACTACTTGAGCCAACTGCTTATTGAATGCTTGTTTTACGATGCGAGTCTTGTGTGACTGTGGCACCATCTCTCTTTGCTCTGTCGCACCTTGCGCAGTACAGATTTCCAGGCAGCACAAAAAACCACATGCAATAGCAATACTCGAGGCAATAGTATGGATTTAAACGTGGCGGAACTCACGACATGCATGTCATGTTCACTACCCTATGCCGTGCCACAACAATGATGTTGTCTTTATGATTGCGATTGACAATGGTACTTGCTTGTGAATCCATGATTGACATGATTATAACGTCTTGTGCGAGCGTGCTAATCTCGCCCCGACAACTACTCGTGTTTTTTTTAGAAACCCTTGGTACAGTCAAGATGGACAGCAGAGACACCGACATCACGACTCGTATCAAAAAGAAACAGGTGCACTTTACGAAGATGCGAGGCATGACTCAGCTCAGCTATCCAGGCGCCATGTTGAGCGTCCACTATGCTGTCAACACTGGTCTCTATTACTTGACTGGCCTTCTCACATTTTAGCTCTACGAACCCTGTTCAAGTCAAACCAGGAATATTGTGTGTGGGAAACAAATGTGGACAGGGGATCCTAGATTGTCTACCAACTGTTCAATCTGCGACTCGACAAGACGCATGATAAATGGAATCGAATCGCTGGTTCACAAGGCTGAAACCGGGCACTAGTCGCCTAATTGGGCATCATGGTTTCTTGGCCTCGTATTTGCTGTCGCCCGAATCGCATGATGGCCCCTCTGGCATCGGCAATTAAATAAACACGAATCTCCACCTTGTCAACCATGCGTTTGCAAAGTCAAGAGCGACAAAAGTTGTTGCGAGAGGCGCACCAAACTTTTTTCTCTCGGAATTTCGCCTCGCCACATGGATTGCCACGCTCTCACACAATTAAAGGCTGTAGGTGCACGCTCAGAGAAACTTGAGAGCATTTGCATCCATGTTGACGCCTGAAAGGGGCGGAGCAACTCCACCTCGTATTCGTGAATCTCACCACGAGAAGCAGCAGACTCGGATATTGGGTATAATGACAGAGGAAGCCCTCGTGCTATTAGCTTTGATCATGCTTACTGGAGTGGCTTAGCCACGTACTAAATCTCCCGTCGAAATACAGCCAGAAAAGTTTGGCGCCGGTGATCCCTTTTTTCCTTGTAATACAAGTGTCATGAGTGTATTTGAGAATCCTGCGTATCGAAATGACTGATACTCCGCGGCGAATCGTCTCTTGGTACATTCTATGTCTACCCAAGTTGGTGTTTCCGAGGAAATAACCTGGTACGTCTTCTTAGATGGCATGCACGCAAGTTGGTGTGGGAAAAATGCATGGCACACAAGGCAGATCTTGTCAACATCAGGGATGAGCAGAAGCAAAAGTAAATTAGTTTGGTGTCTGCAGAAACTAGTACTTTTATAATTGAGACTTGTCATCCGTAGTACAATATTTATAATCGCATTTCTAATGGCGTGAGACCAACGCCTGCTTGAGTTAATGGCCATGTCGCATTGAAATCTTGTCTCTTCGCAACTCATTCTGGCCTTAACCTACTACAATGCAACCTAGGCTCTATAAGTGCTTAATGTTTGAATACCTTGTGTAAAGGCATTTATCCCCATGCTCATATGAATCTGTGCCATGTACCCTGTACCGGCAGTCACGATATCACGTGCAATTATTCCCATTTGTGTGACAGACCACGTGTTGTTTTTCGATCTGCTTTTTCTAAGTTTTTAGACTCAAGACTCAGATATGGATATATAGAATCTTTGTTCATGTCTGACTACATGATATCCAAACCGGTTGTGACAAGGGCAGGGTAACTGCGCATGCAAGTGGATGTTTAATTTAATTCAAACTATAATGATCGACTTTCCGGTATTAAAGGTCTTTGGTTTATCAAGTCCTTGGCTTTTCACATCTTTAGCTTGTCAGGAGGCCTTAGATGACAAGAGGTCTCTATAAATACAACAAGTCGGTGAAGGCTAGTTAGTGCCTGAAACAGCCCTCGCGTAAGGCCGACTTTGGGCATCGTCATCTCATCTTTGTGGTTGTGTAACCGTTGTGAGCCAACTGTGTGACGCTTGTGGTATAATTCATATCAAGAGTAAATTGGCTCGTATGACTAGCAATTTAATTGACATGTAGCTAATAGGCTTGTAGTTCCTCGTGGGCATATCCCATGCTGTATGTACAACTGATAGAATATACAATTAAAAGGCAGCACTTGAGAGCTCATTACAAGCCATGCAGTACAGTGTGATGAATATTACAGTGGTCCTTGGACGCGTGATGCTCTCAGTAAAGTAGTGGCACGTTTGTTGTAAACATGTAGGAATAAAACAAGCCACTTGCATTTATTTCGTGCGAACCATTTGGGCACCGATATACTCGCATGCCTCACTTGATAGCTTCGACGAGCCCTG